TGGAGAAGAGAAGCAAATGATATGTGGTTTGATCAGCTGTATTTCAGTGGCTCGCCAGATTATCATTGCCAGGCAGTGGAATTGGCTAAGGAGTTTGCAGAAATCATTGCTTTGCAAATAGGCGATAGAGGGTTAGGCACCTGAGAAGTCAACTTCTGAATGACTTGCTGGGGGCTGTTTTGGCACATGGTAACAGAATTACTGCTCAAGAACTGGTTTTGTTTTAACAAGAAAGTAATTGAAGTGACTACAGCCCCTTTGAAGTCTTATTTTTAGATTACAATAAGCAAAGATTCTGATTAATTTAGCAGCAGGGCATCAGTGGCTATTAACAGCTTATCATGAGGCTCTGGTAGATTGATAAGGAGCTAAACAGCCTCTGAATCACATATTAACAATCTGGCCATACTATAATTGAGGCTCATGTTGGGTAGTTGTCAGCATGGTTGATAGGCAACACAACAGGAGCAGCTATTTGTCTTTTAAATGGGCACTTAAATTATTCAGAATATTATTTGATAGTCATCAGTACATCTGAGCCGCAGTCCAGTTATTCTAGGCATGGATGACAAGCTTTAATTTAGTTAGCTTAAGTACAGCACTGAGCTCTGCATGGGCAAACTCACCTGTGTCTGTAAGCAATTTCTCAGGTGGGGTCTCCAGCCCATGATGAGATACCTTTTCTGTGGCATTTAGTTGTGCATGAATAAACCAGGATGCAGCTAGCTTGGGTGTGAGAACTAAGCCAGCAGCTGGGCAAATATTTCAGCTAGCATCTGAGCCACCCATGTTATCATAGAATGGTTTGGGTTGGAGGGAACCTATAAAGGCCACCTAGTCCAACCTCCCTGCAATGAGCAGGGACATCTTCAACAAGATCAGGTTGCTCAGAGCCCCATCCAACCTGACCTTGAATGTTTCCAGGGTTGAGGCACCTACCGCCTCAACGTACACGTTATATGTAGTTTTACCTCCCCAGACTAAGAGAGAAAGTAAAACCTGCAATGCTAAACAGTAGCCTTATTTTTATTTATTTTTTTAAGTTTGCTGTGGTTGCAGAATATTTGAGCAGGCACCTACCGCCTCAACGTACACGTTATATGTAGTTTTACCTCCCCAGACTAAGAGAGAAAGTAAAACCTGCAATGCTAAACAGTAGCCTTATTTTTATTTATTTTTTTAAGTTTGCTGTGGTTGCAGAATAATGTAGCAATTCCTCTGTGAATTTAATGTCTCTAACTAGTTTTATATGTTGTGGGACATTCTAGCCAAATAAGAGTGAAAGTTTATGAACCATTAAATGTGCAGAAGGAGTCAGTAACCACTTGGTTGCTCCTCCAGTTCCTTCTTGTTGTAGCATTAGCAATTCAGAGCTCGTCACACAGTGGGACATAGCTCAAATTAATTAGCTAAATCGCTACCTAATGGCAATAAGATTTGATGCCACTTAATATTTCAGTGCAAACATGGCAGGCAGGTTAACGTATTTAAATATGATTGGCTCGCCTTTTCTAGTGGAGTATCTTAACTCCTGTTTGGGCCATCTACAGCACTTATTGTGCTCAATTAATTCTGCCATTAGCAGCGGTCTGATCTGCTATTAGCTCTGATAAAAAGTACAGTCATCTCCATAGCCCTCTCTTTCAGTGATGACCATCCTGTGGTAAGGACGCTGAAATGCAATTTAAAGGGGGAGGGAGGACACACAGACTATGGTTTGTACATAATTAAGTCACATTAATGATGGGAGATAATTACAATTTGGAGTTTATCAGCAGAAAGCCCCAAAGGTAGCTTGCAGCCTGTGATGCTGTTGGGCTGTGTACACACATGCTGCACAGTAGTCGAGCAGTTGTTTCAGGCCATGGAAGGGTTTGAGGTGGAAGGTGCAGATTATTCTTAGCATCCCGTTCCTGAGAAAAGTCATCGAGTTTGCTTACGTGCCTCTTGGTTTTCTTTTCTTTTCCCCTTCTTTCCGCCCGCCCTCTCCCCCCCCACCCGCCTTGTGAAGCAACCCTTCTGGCTTTGTTGTAAGTGTGGTTTGTAATCATTGTACACATCCCAGATGGTTCATGAAAACTCTTTGAAATGCCATCTGCCAGGCGTGTGTCCAGCCGGCAGCCTGTCATTCTGCTACAAGAAAAACGGAGGCGGGTTCTCCCTTCCCCCTGCCTTTCTGAATTGCAGTCAGTAACACTTGCTCAGATGTGAAGCAGGATAACAGCCCGAGCATCTGCAAGCAATCTTTTGCTCTAGACAGCAACATGGAAAGTTGTTGGGTTTTTCGCCTTCGCCCAGATAAGATATCCTAACCAGTGTAGTTTTTATTTTCCCTCTGTTTGTTGTGGGAGACCAACGCGAGGTGACAAATGTTATCTCTGTGATGTAATGTTTTCTCTTTTACGGGGCGACTTGGTGTTTCTAATGCATTCAGCGTTTGTGGCAGGCAACGGCGCTGATAGCAAGCACATCTGTGATTTTTCGACTTGAACATATTCAGGAAATTAAGAACACTGAGATGAAACAAATAGATCCATTAAAATGGCTCAGAGGAATTATGGCAGAGATATAATTGTCATGTCAAATAGGCAGCCAGCACTAGTAAACTGCTGACTGCAATTTCACCACTATAAAAATTCAGAAGGAAAAAAAAAAAAAGATTAATAAATACTCTCTGTGGGAAGATATAGATAAAGAAAAGAAGAGGGCTTTAAAAGATAAAGAAAAATGAATCCTGAAGTTCCCTGATCTTTGTGACTCATGAATGTGTGTTGTCGGTTGCTGGGAAAAAGTACGTCCCGATCTTTGTCGTTCGGCTCGCACACCGCATGGCTTGGGGTGACATCTGACTGATGCGCTGGATGAGGAGCACTACAGGGTCTAATTCTCACTTCCATTGAGCTCCAGGCATGGGACAGCACATCCTCAGACATATTTATTGCTGAAGCTTTTCATTCTTCTCCCCTCTCATGGACCTGGTTTTGGGCAAGTTGGCAGTGGCCAACAGCCATGATGCTCTGGTGAAGGTCCTCAAAGCCTGAACATCTGCAGCAGTGTCAGTGTGGAGGGAGGAGATGCTGCGCCTGGGCTGTGAGCCTTCATCCCAGCTTCTGAGTGTGTGTGCACGCTCTTTGTGTGCCAGGGAGGGACGTGTGGGCATTGCCCACTCAGCCTCTCTGCCTGCCTTTAGATGGGGACGCAGGCACTTGGACAGAGAGAGCATGTGGTCCAGTTCCAGGATTTCTCTGGTCTAGATCTGTGAAAAACATCTCTCCCTTTTTACAAGCTACTTCGTAAAAATCATTGTAGTCTTTCTGTAAGGATTCAAGAATACAAGTAGGAAAGAGTAATTCTGCTAGTAGGGGGAAGATACCCATCACCATTTCTATCCCTTTTTTTTGCTTTTCTTCCTCCTGCCTTCACCCATTCACACAGCTCCGAGAGGAGGAATGATAGAAGCAGCACAGGAATTTATAGACTATTTGAAGGCTGATGGTAAATAATAAAAAAGAGAAAGTTTCTATTTTGAAACAAGGAATGGAGGATGTTAGAGGAAGTGGATGTCGATCAAGGAAATTAATCTAGTGATAGTCTTTTCAAGGGTGCCACTCTGTCAAGGCTGACCTCTTGAACAGTCTCTCAGATGAATAGGGCATAAGCAGACTTTCCGCTTCCCTGGCACTTGAGGAAAACGTTTGCCAGATGCAGGCATGGTGAATTTATGCTCTTTCAACTTCCGAGAGCGGGAAGCTTCCCAATTAGTTTCCAGAAGCTTGCTTCTTTATATTTTCTTCAGGCCTTTTATAGAAGGGTTTAAGAATTTGTATGCACTGAGAAATCACTGCCCAGGGGCCGGAAGAGTCCCACAGAAGTGAGAAATCATACTTCATTAAATGTCAGGTATGGTTTCCTTATCTATAGTTATTCCCAAGCCAGCAGATTCGTTGCGGCCACAGCACTTGGACACCTCCAACTCTCTTAACGCTGCTCTTTCTTCTAAAGTTCAGCTTCCTTGTACCATCTGTAAATCTGTCATTTATATTTAAATCTCAGCTGTACAGAATCCAGCCATCTCCTAGCTTCTGGAGTCATGGAAAATAAAGGCTATTGAACAGAAATTAATCCTAATCAATTAGGCTATGCTCAGTGACCTAAAATGCAGTGGCCCAAGCCATTTTAGCAAAAAATCATGAAATGACTCATCTTACACCATGCTTCAAAGCGCTGTAAATTGGTCAGAAGGCAGAAGAGTTTCAGAGCTGGCAGAGTAGCAGTGATCAGAGCCCCATTCTCTATGGGTGCTATTTAAATTGTCGAGTGCTAGAGCGAGATTCACTGTGAATTATTACTCTAAAGAAAAAAGTATTTCTTGAACTAGAATGAGCTTATGGGTGAAACTCTTTTTGCAGCTTGTCTCTTTAGCAAGCCTGTGTGAACAGTGCATCAAAACTGTCTCACGGTACTTCTAATGTTGAGATAACAAAATAGCATAAATAGACATAAAATATTAAGAAGAAATAAGGAGGAAAAGATCTTTATGATGTGAAAGAATTTTTGGTGAGATAAAGTGATGCAGCAATAATGGAAGCTGGAAAGAAGTTGCCTTATCTGAGAAGAGAGATTGCAATTTTAGTGAAGCTGAAGTGTGAGAGTCTGTTCTAATGGCAGGAAGGTAATCGCTGGCATATTCAAGATATGAAACTCTTCCAGCTGCGTTTCTGCATGTGATATGAGAGGTGTCTTTGCCAGAGAGTCTTTCTGGGAATACCAAATTGTCGTTGGGTGGAACAACTGGTACTGCCAGCTCAGCCTGTGATCTATGTCCTGCCTTGTTTTTATGCGAACTCCTAACTTCTACCTGAACTCTTGACACTGCTCTCTGTGTAGCTCATGGAATTGTATTTTACAGATACCGTTGGATCTTTGTGATCATTTTGTATTGTCCCTTTTGACTCTTGATAAGAAAACAACTATATTAATGCGCTAATTTTTCCTTTCAGGCACAACCCGCCCTCCAAGAGAAGGAGAAGTGCCTGGTGTGGACTATAACTTTCTGACTGTGGAGGAGTTTCTGGAGTTGGAGCGAAGTGGGACCCTTCTGGAAGTAGGAACTTATGAAGGTATGGAGCCACGGGCAGTGAAAAAGCACTTCAGAGAACTGTGGTAGGATATCAGGCTTGTGTTCACCAGCCTGAGTTAGCACCTAACTTTCCATTCTAGTGCTCTACTTCCCTTTTCTCTGTGTACCTGAGAGATGGAATTCCAACGTTGTGTGCTTTTGTCTTTTCCCTTCAAGGTAACTAGCTCAAAAGATTAACATCAGTAGGTCAGGAAAATCCAGTGTGAAATCTGGTAAAGAAATACCGAGGGAAGGCAGCTTGGCAGTGAAAGAAAATGCATCTTTTCTTTGTATCTGCTACAGCCCATCTTACTTTTTCTTCCCTCCTGCTGTGTCTCTCTTCCCCTTCATCTTCCCTAAGTACACATCCTTCATCACCCAATTGTGTGGCACTCTGCAGCTACACCATGCACTGCTTTTGGCCTTTTTTTTTTTTTCCTTCTTCTTTATTGTTGGGTAATTACTTCTCACTTGGGTCATAGTGTTGATCCTTTTTACAGCACAGCTTTACAAACAACAGCACTGAGACAGCCAAAGGGCACTGAAATGTCACTAGGGTGAGAGCAGGAAAAAGATAGCTTTGACTTGGAAGAAAACGCAAGGCAAATTGGCCATATTTAGGTACACAGTTGGATTTGTGTAACTAAACCTGCAATCTGTATCTCCTTTAAATTGAAAACTCCTTTTAGGGTGGGGTCCTTGCCCCCGAGAACATTCAAATATACCTCTTGAGAAGTCAATGAAATGAAATACATTACAGGTTTGAAAGTCCTTCCAGTGCACTTCAGCTCATTCATGTCATATTTCCATTTCCAAGAAGTTAAATGGGTCTTTTCATAATTATGAGAAGTTTAAAAAGCCTTATTCTTGCAGCCATTAAGAAGAAACATGAAATACGTACAAAGAAATAGCTGATAGTCTTTGAAAAGTAGTCATAGAATGTGAACAAAAGAGATTGTGACATGTGGTTTGGGTTTCCAAGCTCTAAGAACAAGTCCTGAAATGCTGTTTGCTTAGTCTACTTTAAAAACTCCCTTGTTAAGGTCACCTTTAAACCATGCACTGATTCCCAACTCCAGACAATTGCAGCGTCAAACCCAGTTTGTGTGAAGATGCTAAATGTATAATTTGGTTTCACTCTTCCACCTCCCTGAGCTGATTAGCTCCATCAGCACCAATGCTAACATTCCAGCAGCAGCTCTTCTCCAAAATGAGCTTTTTCCTCTCTATGTTTCTAATTATAACACTAAATTAGTTTTCTTTGTCATGGTGCTCGAAATAGATCAGCTGAACTGCCTCACCATTACTTCCTGATCGTATTTATTCTGGTGACCTTTCCACTTGGAAAGACAAAATGGGTAACTGTCTGTAAGCTGGCTCCTGGGACTTGCTGGGAATTAGTTTTCAGGAAATGCCGTGCACATCTGGGACAGTTATAACCTGGTCATTTCGGTGCTTATGTGATTATATGCAGCAGCAGCTGAACTGTTTAGATTTCATGGGTTGCTCTTTCGAGTTGCTGAAGATGAGGTTGATTTCTCCTAAGTCTAATGCGTATTTCATTTCTGTGGCTGATGGAGGGGTCTGAACTTTAACGGAATAATTTGTCAGAAGTGCTGAGAAGCCTCTTTGCACGTTGACATCGGTGATGTTGGGGCATAGTGGTTCTGGAGAGCTGGCCCATGGAAGGAAAAATCTATAAGAATAAAGCAAGTAATGATGATGCATGTGTGCACATGTGCATCAAGACACATTACTATTTGATTGTAATGTGAAATAAATAAAGTTCATTTTTCATTTAAAACTTCAAGAAATGATTTTGCTGCCTTCCGAGATTTCTTTAATGACTTTGTTGTACTTTTTTGGGAAATCTTATTTTATAACTGTATTGATCAAGACAGTGTTGATCTTGATCTTGAAAGAAGTTGTGATTCAGACCCAGTGCTGTAATCACCAGCAATTTCTGTCTAAAAAGAAAAAAAAAAAAATCCCAGACCACAAAGTTAGACTTCTAATGTCCAAGTTTTTGTTATTGCTTAGCCTCAGCTTTATAGTCTTAGATTACCTTAATTATTGGGGGTTTTATGCTGCATTCTGCTGCCTTTTTTTTTTTAATGTACCACATTTAAAGTTGATTGTATTTTTGACCCTGCCAGTGATGACTTATTCCAAACCAGAGTGATGGAACCCAACAAAAGGGAATAATCTTCTGTTTCTCTCGTGAACAATAAAATAATTCCTTTAAGGCATGACTTTTATTATTACTAACGCTACCTAATGTACTGAGTAGAAAACAAACAGCTGCAAGGATAGGGTTGCTTTTGATTATAATGTAATTAGGTGATATCGAGATGCAGGAAGGGAAATGCTGTGAAATGGAGAGTAGCGATGCTGAATGGGGAAGTTTTCATGGGCCTGGCAGCCACAAGTCCATGTGGCTCAAGCAGGATGGTGGTTTGGGGTCAGGGTGTTCCCAAGGTCCCTTCTGGCCCTTAGTTTCTAAGAGTCTACATGTGGTGATGGATGTACGCTCTTTATTTCTGTGCTGCAGTTCAGCAGCTGGAGAGAAAGTCTGACCCGATCGATCAAGATAAAGTTTTGGCATTACTGGATGACATTTGTTTGCCTTTTGAAGGCATAAATCCACCCAGACACTGGCGCTATCGTTGAGAAAACACCTTGTGGGAGAAGATGTAACACAAGGATTTGTTTAGTTACTGAAGAGAACTTCTGGGGAGATAGATTAGAAAACAGGAAGCCATCAGAAGAGGAATAATACAGAGGACTTTGCTGATACAGATACTATTGATTTGGAAAGAATAAAGAATAAGCAGAAGAGAACGGTTGGAAACCATAAAAGAGTAGGAGAGTATATCAGGTTTTTGAAAGTGCTCTAATTGCAAACAGAGAAGCCGCAAACTGAATAGGACAAAAAAGGTGTTGCCTACCTACTGGGCTGCATAATGTCTGTATTATTTCTTCTGGTGTGCTGCAAATAGGTTCCTCTGGGCAGTTTTTGATTCACATCCCAGTGACTGCAGAGCAGGGATGGTAGCTGCTTTTCTGGTCACCTGTCACCTCCAGGGTGTGTTCTGCACCCAAAACACTCCAAAAATTGTGATCAGGTGTGAGGGGATGTTTGAAAACCTGAATTCCTGAGGTTTTCAGGTCCAATTTTGACACACTGCTTTTTAACCACAAAGCCTACAAACTTCTTTCTTCCCCTGATGAAAGCTACGTGTTGCTCACATGAATTCAGGGTGTGGAGCTGAAATCCTTGGAGACCTGCCCAAAGCTGTGATGTTTGCACCAGTGTGGGTGTTTTTTGCACCACGTGCGTGCTGGTGAAGCTGCACGCGACACACTCAAGCCAGTTAGTAATTCCCATTGACAACGCTCATTAGGAAGGAAAAATCTTTTTAGACTGCACATTAGCTTGGCTTTCTGTTGGATAGGAAACCATCATAATTGTAATCTCAGGCATTTATTGACTGATCCTTCAGGGCATAAAATACTGACGGATGCATGGAAGTAATTGTGTAGGTTACTAATTATTAAGCAATTACTTCTGCATTTGAATTTTGGGCTCTCACAGGGACCCCAAGGGAGGGCTGTTTTGAGCAGAACCACAACTTCTAGATTTTATTCTCATTTTTTCCCCAGCTGCTAAACGGCCTCAGGCAAATCATAGAAATCAAATCAGGTAACTGCTCTATACTTCAGGTTGCTGGCCTGGAGAATATTAAAACAACACTTACTTCTCTGTTCATTAATATTTCAGAAGATATCCTGTGCCTGCAGTTATCTCCTGTTACAAGTAGGAGGGAGAGAGTGGAAGCAATGGTATTTCAGAGGGCTGGGCTGAATGGAGCTGTGGAGATGGTCGCTCTGCAGAGATGAGCTAAGACATCCGAGTCATAGAATAGTTTGGGTTGGAAGGGACCTTTAAAGGCCATCTAGTCCAACCCCCCTGCAGTGAGCTGGGACATCTACAATTAGATCAGGTTGCTCAGAGCCCCATCCAACCTGACCTTGAATATTTTGGTGGTTGGGGCATCTATCACCCTCTGGGCAACCTAGGCCAGTGTTTCACCAACCTCAGCGTAAAAAACTTCTGTCTTATATCTAGTCTAAATCTTCCCCCATTTAGTTTAAAACCATTACGCCTTGTCCTATTGCAACAGGCCCTGCTAAAAAGTTTGATCCCATCTTTCCTGTAGGCCACTTTGAGTACTGAAAGGCTGCTATAAGGTCCCACAGGAGTCTTCTCTTCTCCAGGCTGAACAACCCCAACTCTCTCCACCTGTCCTTGTAAGAGAGGTGCTCCAGCCTGATCCTCCAGATCATTGTTATGGCCCTCCTCTGGATCCACTCCAACAGGTCTTTCCTGTACTGAGGGCTCCAGAGCTGAACAGAGTACTCCAAGTGGGGTCTCATGAGAGCAGAGTGGAGGGGCAGAATCACCTCCCTCAACCTGATGGCACAGGTTTCTACACAACTGGGCAGCATCCCTATGCTCTTCCCAGGGTACCTGTCTCTGCTTCCACTGCCTGTGTATCTCTTTCTTGCTGTTTAGATTTACCAGCAGATCTCGACTCAGCCAGACCAGTCTCTTGCCCTCCTTTCCTGATTTCTTACACCTGGGGATTGAGAGCTCTTGCACTCTATGGAAAGCATCCCTAAAAATCTGCCAGCTCTGTTCTGCTCCCTTGCCCCTGAGGGCAGCTTTTATTGACTAAGTCCTTTGAGAGCTGGAATTTTGCTTTCCTAAAATTCAAGGTCCTGATTAGTCTTCACCTGAGCCCTAACCCTCAGGACTGTGAACTCCACCAGCACACAATCACTGGGGCCCAGGCTGCCCCCAATTTTGGCGACACCAATTAGCTCACTCGCGTTGGTGACCAGTCCGATGATACTGGTGGTCCAGTGTCGCATTCCCTCTGATGGGGCTGCCTATTACCTGGCTGAAGAAGTTATCCCCCACGCACTCCCACGTGTGTG